GAGCAGGGAGCCCGATGTGGGACTCGATCCCGGGACTCCAGGATCATGACCCAAGCCGAAGGCAGTCGCTTAACCAACTGAGCCACCCAGGCGCCCCAGAAGGGCAGTTACTGTGTTAAAGTTTTCTGACTTGGGAGGCTGCCCCTTTCTTGGTCCTTTGGCTAGAGAAAGCAGGCTTTTGTTTGGGCTTTTTTTGGTATGTGCCTGTTGGCATTTTGGGGTTGCCTGCTTCTCCAGCTGCAAGTCTGTGATGATGAGACAAAAAGACCACCAGACTGACCACCTTGTCGTTCCAACAGCCTCAAGGTCCCCAGCCAGTCTTTTTTCTCCTCTCCACCTTTAGAATCTTCTTACATTTGTTTCATATATGATATCCAGGGTTTTGGTTGTACATCGTGGGAGGACTACTCTGTCTTAGCGGAAAGAGAAGTGGCAGCAGTGCATTTTGATACATTTTTGCCCCCTAAATACCCGAAGAATATGATGAATTTTCCTTTGTCTCACCCATATGGATAGGCTTCTTGTAACTTCTCTAATACTTGCTTTATATCTAATCCCGTTTGTTGATGAGATTTTATCATTGCAATAGCCTTTGGCTCAGTTTATTTGGCTTTTGTTAGTAAGTTTGACTCTTGAGCAACACAGGTCTTAGGGCACCGACCCCCCCGTGCTTCAGAAATCCACGCATAACTTTTGACTCCCCCAGAACTTAATTACTAACAGACTACTGTTGCCTAGAACCTTACTGAGAGCATAAACAGTCGATTAACGCATATTTTGTCATTTGTATACTGTATTCTTACTCCAGGTAAGACAGAGAAAAGAAAGTGTTATTAAGAAATGGTAAGGAAGAAAAAATACATTTACAGGATTGCACTGTATTAAAAAAAAAAAATCCACTTATAAGTGGACCAGTGCAGTTCAAACCTATGTTGTTCAAAGGTCAACTGTACTACAGTGTTTGTCTTTTTTTTTTTTTTAAGATTTTATTTATTTATTTGGAGGGGGGAAGCACAGAGGGAGAGGGAGAAGCAGACTCCCCTCTGAGCAAGCAGCCCGACGTGGGGCTCGATCCCAGGACCCCCAGATCACAACCTGATCCGAAGGCAGACACTTAACCGACTGAGCCACCCAGGCGCCCCCAGTGTTTGTCACCTATCCATTCAGATGTTTATTGTGCCAGGTCTGATGAGGCCTAAGAACACTCCCTGAGGGAGCTTATGTGTAGCGTCAGATGTTTTCGCTACTATTGTGGTTGGAGCGTGTGTTTCCCCCCCACAAAATTCATCTTGAAATCCTAACCCCCAATATAATGGTATTAGGAGGTGAGGCCTTTGGAAGGTGATTAGGTCATGAAGGTGGAGCCCTCATGTCTGGGATTAGTGCTCTTGTGAGAAGAGTCAGGTGCTTGCTGTGGTTCTCTGTCCTCTGCCCCATGAGGGTACCGTGAGCAACATGGGCCGTCTGCAAACCGGAAGGCAGGCCCTTATCAGGCACTGGCTCTGCCGTGCCTTCATCTTGGGCTGCTAGCCTCCAGAACTGTGAGAAATACATTTCTGTTGCTTAAGCACCCCCCAGGCTGTGTATTCTGTTACAGGAGCTGGTATGAAGACATCTATCTACGTTACCTCATCTGATCTTCTCTGGCTAGGAGGTCAGCATTTATTATCTCTCACAGACGAGAGGGGTTGAGAAAGTGATCCACGGTGATTCAGCTGTATGTTGTTTACTGGGAGGTAGTGGGGCCACTAATCACTTCTTAGGGTGTTCTCCACACCAGTGATTATGGGATTTTGGGTGTTGGCCAAATAGGATTGAGATGGACTTGCCCATCCACACAGTACATGTGTAAGTGCTACTTAGACTTTGAGAAATAACAAAGTGGGAGATCTAACACTGAAGTTAAGTCTTACTGTAAAGCTGAAGCGACCGTGATTATGTAGCATTGGGGTAA